GCTCCTGCTCCTGCTCCTGCTGCTCCTGCTGCTCCTGCTGCTACTGCTACTACTCCGACCACTACCACTACCACTACCACCACCACCACCACCACCACCACCACCACCACCACCACCAGCAGCAGCAGCACCACCACCACCAGTACCACCAAGAATACTGATGACACTCCTCATCCGCTTCTTCCTTCTCCTGCTGCTGCCGCCGCCGCTACCACCCCAAGCGTGCCGCATACATAGAGCCATGATCAATACAACAACTCAAAGAAGGCTGCCTAGTTGCGAGATCTGAGCAGAGGAATTCACTTAACATCCATCAAGCACAGATTTGTGACAGATTTGAATTCCTTGGAATCCTCAACTAAGCTTGATTGCACAAGTACATCTTCAGCAGCTGAGGATGGTATCATGCTGGCGGACCTGATCATGACTCTTAGGCTCTGGGCCTTCTGCATGTCGAACCTGCGAGGCTTTCATGTTTGAAGCCTTAGAGTTACAAGTAGCGGGATATTTGTGCGGAACTATGACCTCTATGAGCCAAGCATCAGGAAGTATCCAACCCAGGTGAAGTTGTTGAAAACCTCGGAGTCCAGTCCATTCGTCAAACTCTCAAACCGCAACCGTAGGGTAGGGAACAAAGCTCACAATAATATGAAAAACTGAAAATGTGCCTGAATGCCTGACTCTGCGGCCAGTACCATGGGTCCAAGGTGTAGCTCAAAGTGTGGTAGCCAGACAATGAAGAGGTTCAAGGCAGGACCAGCCAGCGTGAGTGTGTTGGACAGAAGGACGAAAATGCCCATGTAGTGCGTGCGGTCGGCCAAAGATGTGTTTTGAACAACGAACCTGTGAACACGCCCGGCCCATGCAGCAACAACTACCCACATTCCGTTTCTGTCCCACAAGCCACCTAAAGACCTAAGGCTCACATGCCAGTCAGGGTGCGCTTGCGTTGCAACAGTCTGAGCTGCTGTGGCGCCCAGTGCAGCTCTTGAAGCCAGTAGGGCCCATAGACCCAGGGTTGGGGCAGCCGCATACAGCAAGCTGGCGACCACCGAAGCCCTTGGTTGCATTTGCTTCACCCGCAGATCCCGAGTTCAACTAGCTTGGCTCTTATCACTTCGAGCGTCGGGGCTGAGACCCGGACCCAAGGCTGACTGTGAAAACCTCCTTGTAGGATCTGCGATCCACCCAGCAGCCATATAAACCCATGAACAGAAGCCGGGCCATTGCAAAGCAGCCGGCACTCAGCCTGCAGTTTTGCTAAACTTCTGCAGCTCCCACGGCGGGGCAAACAGCAGGCTGCTGACCAGTGCCTCCAAGCAGCCCATATAAATGCTTATCCCCACCGAGGGACTCCACGTACCCAAGCAGGGAAGGCACAGACAAGGTACCTGCGGAAACTACTCAAAACAACAGCAATCGACTCAGAAGTGCTCTCCACATCTCCACCAAGCACGCCTTCTATTGCGACGAGCAGGCCGATGCACCAGGCCGCGAGCAAATTCAGGAAAGATGTGGTTTCCGGGTTTAACTCGGGATCATCAGAAAGCGTTCTCGCCAGCAGCTGCGGTCCTCACAGCGGTCAGTAAGAAGAAAACAGTACCTTTGCAAGCTGCACTGTGGACATAACTACATAACGTTTGCTTCTGTCTCAAGCTCCTAGCGGATGCAAATCTTCTGGCAGCGTGAGATTTACTTCAATCCTCTTTTGCCGCTAGCCCTTGTACACAGCAGCTACCCTGCCACATGCTGCACCATTCGGGGCAAATGCTGCATAATGCTGTCTCTGTTAAAAAGAGAGCTTCCACCAAGTCATGCATACAGCACATCTTCTGCACAAAAAGCCTTTGTCCTGCTGCTGTAGATGCCGAATCCTCAGCAGTCACAGTGGACATGAATCGCTTCTGGCATCTGGCTGGCTGCAAGAACAAGGTTCAGGTGGCCGTCATGGGGACTGCGCTTGCACACATTTTCATACATGTTCAGACAGTTGGATGTGAAAAACTCAGATAGAGGTGTCTGTTGATGATCGAAAGAATGGAAGCTGCGCTAAACTTTTCTGGAAATTCGGGTAATACGGTTTGACACGAGCTTGGCATGTCGTAACATCGAAAACCCGTTTCAGCATGCAAACGCTGACTGCTACCGGCTACCGATGCTTTCGCATTTGAACGCCTGATACACGTAAGTCAGCGAATGCGGCTCGATCTGGGCCCACGCGGGCATGGGCGACATGGGATGCATGTTTTGCACAGACACCGTTTTTGGGCAAGCATGGATGTTGGTGATGCAGTCGTAAACGGGACCTCTCTTGCAGGTTGAGTATTCAGGAACAAAATAATGGTAACACGTCAAAATCTGCAACCATGCTGCATCCTGCGCATCAGAGGCTGGCGGTGGCTCCATTCCACTCGAGGCCGCAGCTTGAAAAAGGCGTTCCAAGATACCGAGACATCAAAGTTTGCATGCTTTCATCATGCACATTCCTAACGAAAGAATCGGGCTGCTTTGACAACTGTCGAGGGTAAGATCTGGATTAGGAGGTCGTCCAGCAATCTGATTGGCGGCCGATCTAGCTTGTTTCAGTGGTCAGGTAGGAGCTTGGCGTGTATGGGGGGTGGCCCCTACAATTAAGGATTACACAGGGAACATGGCGAGAAATACCCACATGCACATGTTCAAAAGCATTCAGAAGCTGAGCAAGTCACAGCAAGGGCAGGTCTTTATCAATGAATGCTCGCAAGATGATTCCAATCAGGGGAAGAATATTGCGTTTTGTTACTGATGGCAGCCTCTGTCTCAAGTCTTTTTTGTCGCGAACACGCTCTTGCATGGAGAAGCCCAGAAGTGCACAGCGCAAGTCAACAAAGATAAACCTCATGCTCCTGGGATGTCTACAGCAGTGTAAGGGCAGTAGTTGAAAACAGCAAGACAAAG